AAGCTAAGGCAATGGGGCAGGGGCCGAAATTTTATGGGAGGCCGGTGTACTATAAATTGTTAAGAGGAATGTGTATGCAGGAGAGTAGAGGGTGGCGTAAAAGGAGCACCTCGTTTGGGAACGACTACGTAAGGCTACAGTGCACGCATTTTGATCCTATGCATTTGCTTACTTTTCCGCAATTTACATGTCTTTTTCATGGGTTTGTGGTCTTACCAAACCTTTTACCTCTACCTTTCAGTACCTTTTTCCCCACATAACCGTAATTTACGTTGAAAAATATATTTTACAAAAAACGTGCAAAATTTTCAATTTCAACGCTGTTGCTTTACTTTAGAAACTAAATATAGATCAAAAAGTTTCCTCGAAGGATCAAAGCATATTTTCTGGGAATGCACCAGTGATTTTTGGGTACTTTGTATCTGTTCGTATTCGTTTCTATTGAATTCCGATGCTCGACACGCCAGGTGCCTTTCAATGCTGATCACGTTCCGGAACGATTTTGCGTTTTTGGCGATCGACAATTTCACGGTCATCGCCTCGCATAAAAGACGGATAAATCTTCGAGGCAATACATTTTCCGGAATTCAACGACGACTGAAAATTCGCGTCTACACTGCCGGACATAATTTTGGCTCCACCCATACCATGCGAGAAAATCGCAAAAATTTGGGTGGAGCCAAAATTGTAATCCGGCAGTATCTTTTCAACTTTTCGAGATCCCTTCCCTGCAAACCCAGGAGATTTCCCCAGATTCCCGAATGCCATCATGGATCACATTTTGGACCCGGGGTCAACTTTTCGGGCAGAAAAAGATAGAATCATCGCGCTCTCGCCAGCCAGCTTTGACCTTGAATATCCGTTTCAGTAAAGCGAAAGATAACGACCGGGCGTATGTTTTGGTCAAAACAGCCGCGAGGTTGCTTAGAATCAGGGCCTCGAAAAGCACAGTCCCAAGACGGGTCTCTTCCAAAAACTGTTAGCGGTAGGGGGTTAGCAGGTGGAAGGTAATTTTAGTTTTTCCGCCTATACCTGTTGACAAACAATAGTGAATTTTTACAGTGTTTTTAGTAGTTTTTGATTTCTAGAAAGCTATCAAAAATGGTCTGTTTTGAAAGATAACGACTGGGATTTTTCAAAGCTCGAAAATTTTTAATCTTTTTTTGGCCATTTCTATGTGTTTCGTTATAGGGCCGTACGGGGATTACTAGCAAAGTTTTCGTTTTCGTAAATTGGTTTCGCCCTGCTAAAAATCCCCCTCCCCACTAACAGTCCAGTACCCAGAGCTGTCTAGGTTTCTTTAAAGATAAGATTTTATCTTTAGAAAAACGGCCGCCCGACCTACTGCCTCAGAACCGAGGCGTCAGAAGACGCAGAGGCCGCCCAGATGCCATATCACAACTAGTGACCGAGTGACCAAAACAAAGTTGCTGAAGAGTTTTACGGGCGCTTCATTCGGGGCAGCGTCACCGCTTCCAGATTGTTGTAATACGTCTAACTTTGGTCTATCGCCTAGCGTCATTCTTATTCGATATACGCCAATTATGTAGCTTTACTAATTTTTACGTATTAAAAAAATCGAAAAAAACCATCAAAATTTTTGTAAATTTTCGGGTGTTGTGGTTTTGGTTGTAGATGAAAAATGACCATAAAGATCAAAAAATCCAAAATTTGAAAACGTTCGAAAACTTTTTTATACTTTTAGTTGTCAAAAACTGCTAAAAAGGCAATAAAAAGACAGCATAAAACGCTAAAAATTCTGGATGGGTATAGGCTTGGTAGCTCTTCCCTCCGCCCCCTCCCCTAACCGTCAGTACCGTTTATCTTCTTACCATCAAATGGGAACAGCAACAGAGATTTAATCTTTCGAGCCATGTTGACAAATTTTGGACTGCGAATCGAAAACCGTCTATCGTAAAAACGAAGCCACAGATCCCAATTTATGAACCCTAAACTTTTTATGACCTTCCACGGTCCCTGATTTCCGGAGAATGCGCCCCCGATTGAGCGATCGTGGACCAAAAGTGTCTTCTTATCGTGGCGGCGGCCCGGGGACACTCTGTTTTCTGAGCCGCTGCCCTTCCCCCCGACCCGGGATCAAAATGTTACGGCGCTCGACCGGGGCGCTCCTCGTTCGTTCATTGCTCAAAAACGACCTCCCCACCTGACCCCCCAAAAAAAGAACCAGAGAAAGAAAGACAGGACCTCCAGGGTTTCAAACTATATGCGGGCACGAAAAACAACACTGATTAAAGACCCCCTTTTAAAGGGAAAAGGAAGGCTTGTGTCGCGCAGCAATAAATCGGTAGCGCGGATGGGGGCCGAGTCCCCCTTCAATTTTTTTTTGCGTTTTCTAATGCATTTTGATTGTTTTAGTGCTTTTCACTACTAAAAAGACGCACAAAAAGATTTAGAAATCTCAAAATTTCAAGTTTTTGATCATTTCATTCGAATCGAAATTCGGAAACAGACCACAATCTATTTACTTTAAAACGGCATAATAAGCTAACTAAACGGTGTGTTTTTCAACATGGTGATTCCCAAAGTTAGGTCCCCGGCTAACAGCACAGAACCTAATTGGCCCCCTACCCAGCGGCTTCTTCTATTTACCGTCGTGGCGTTGCCCCCATGGTCAAGAACAAATTTCGAATAGCATAACCACCGGCGCCGGCCTTCTAATAGGTTGACCAAATAGATGGCCGCCTACTGGAAGTTCACTTCCGAGACGACTTTTGATCAAAGGCCGGGCATTGGACAGCGGCCCTAGCTTCTGCCTCGACCTTCAGAAATCGCGGGTCAAGCTGAAAGAACGCCCCGGCTGAGTCAGCCCGACTAAAAAGAATTTTTCTCAAGATACTGTCGAGACGGCCATTATGAATCGCAAGGGGACCTGTTGAATTATTCATGTCTCACGAGCTGTTTCCCCGTTCCGCGTTTCATTTTACGTTTTCGCGGTCCGTGGACTTAGACTTGTTAGACCGGCAGCTTTTAGCTGCTTCCGTGTTAGCGGTGGAGCAAGGCCAGTTTTTCGAGGGGCACTGTAGGGACAAATATAATTAATGTAAACCATTTTGATGTAGAATTGCAGACATTTCCTATTATTTATCATAGAAAAACCTAGAATAAGGTTTAAAAGTTTAAAAGGAAGCTTCCTTTCCGTTCCAAAATGTATGAAAACTCGCCAAAAACTTGCTAAAACCATAAGATTTTATAGGAAAAATGCGTAATTAATTGATCGGAAATTACTAAAGGTACCTGTACATAGTAGCTTAATAATAGCAACCAATTAGCAAAAAAAACATTATCTTTTATTACTTAGCACTAGGGTGAATCCTGTCTAAATTAAAAAATCGCCATGTTCACCGCGAACCGGGAAGCACCGCTTTTTATGAACTACCCTCCTCATCCCTGAAATTGGCCCTAATGTGAGGTCATAGGGCATCTTTTCCAAGGCCTTGGCTGCCAGGCCTGCCTTTACACTCCCTGCCCTAAAATTACCTTCCCAACTTCCAGAACGGATCATTGAACAACTGAATGATAACGGGGCTCGTTTCTTTCGATCGAGAGATCAAGAAGTGTCCCCGTTCAAAAAGCTCCGCCCATTGCTCCCCGGAAAAGGAGTATAAATTTGTGGTCTGGAGCAGGGAGAGGGCACTGGTAGATAAACAATCCTCGTGGTTCAAGCTATTCGTAAACTTGGTTAGAGTTCAGTTTACCCCCCCGCCGGCACCCAACTTTTGTATCTCGGCTCCTGTAGATCTACATGTGCGTAAAGTATACCAAAATGTTCGCCTTGCTCTGGTGAATATTTTTGGTATACTTAGCAGGCTCCCTGCGACAACAGGTTGTTAGATACAAAAAGTTGGGTGCCCAGCAAGGCAGAGAGTAAACTGAACCACATCCGGAAACTCCGCCAAACGGTTCAGAAACTTGGAAATATCGCGATTCCGGTGAACGTTGTAGTTTTTAGTAGTTTTTTGGCAAAACAAATCCGGACTTGGGCACTGGCTTTCTAAACTGCGCTTGTTGGCGTCATTTGTATGGCGTTGTTGCTTTTCGGTTTCGCCGCCTTCCCCCATTTATCTTTTTTGGGATTTTCCTGCGCACTCCTCCTACTTGTCAACGTGAAATTTTGCCCCGAAAACATTATCCTATTTACTTTCTGTGCTATTTTCGGAAATACCGCCCAATTCCCCCATCATCTTTTGATATCCACCCGGGTGGACTTTGTTTGGCAGACATTTGATATCAGGGAAAGACAATTTTCCCGGTGCCTAAGAGCTGTTTGCGTCGTGTTGATCCTCTTTCCCCGAGACGCTCCCCCTCCTCGTTGATAGCGCCACCAGATTCAGTTCCTTGCTCTTCTCCGTATACTATTCCGTTTCACAAGTGAGGTTTCCTATACTATTCAATGTTACGTTTCTTGTCCCACCAAAATCGTTGTTTAGTGATGACGAACAATCTCCGCCAACAATTCGCGTGCGACAAGGCGATCGCCGCGCGCTTCAACGACCTAGACCAGCGCAACATTGTGCAGGTAAATTTCTTCATTAATCTTTTTTTGGCGCGCTCAATGGGTTTGCTGGGATTTCCCATTTGACAGTAGCCGGGTACTCACGGTTAGCCTTTCTTTTATCCGAATTTTTTTGCTGAGCGGTATCCATCCACAAACAATCTTTTATTTTACGACGGGGGCAATGTGCGGTCGATTGTTATCAGTTCTTGGCACCCCTGTGTCGCCTTTGCGGAGAAAATGGTGATGGGGCAATACACCAGTCCTTTTTCAGTGCCAATACATCTGGATCGATGGTACCGGCGAGAACCTGCGATGCAAAACGCGCTCCATCGACTTTGTGCCCAAGAGCCCCCGATGAGCTGCCGATCTGGAACTTGACGGAAGCTCCACTGGCCAGGCCGAAGGAGCCGACTCCGATATTGTACATCAAGCCTGTCGCCATCTATCCGGACCCTTTTCGCCGCCCAGGAATAACAAGCTGGTGATGTGCGAGACGTTGGACAACAAGAAGCAGCCAACCGGTAGTTTTTCGGACCTGCGATCCTGAAAAACTGACTTTATTATAACTGTATTTTCCAGCCAGCAGCCACCGCCGTAAATGCAAGGAGATGATGGACAAGGCGAAAGATCTGCACCCCTGGTTCGGCATGGAGCAAGAGTACACGCTGTGCGACATCGACGGTCACCCTTTCGGATGGCCGAAAAACGGATTCCCCGGACCCCAGGGCCCTTACTGCTGCGGCGTCGGCGCGAACAAGGTGTACGGCCGTGACATCGTCGAAGCTCATTACCGCGCGTGTATCTACGCTGGCATCAAGATCTCTGGCGAGAACGCTGAAGTCATGCCCGGACAATGGGAATTCCAGGTTTGTCTTTTCTTGCCTCGTCTACTCTCTTTTGAATCTTTAATGGCAACGTCACTTGCTTCAGGTTGGACCTTGCAGGGGCATCGAAATGGGCGACCAGCTATGGATTACACGCTTCCTGCTTCACCGTGTCGCCGAGGAATTCGGAGTCCTGGCCTCGCTCGACCCGAAGCCAATCAAGGGCGACTGGAACGGTGCCGGTTGCCACACGAACTTCTCAACGCAGCCGATGCGCGAGGAGGGCGGTCTGAACGAAATCATCGAAGCCATCAATCGGTTGTCTGTGGTCCATAATCAGCACATCGCCTACTACGACCCGCAAGAGGGCAAGGATAACGAGCGTCGTCTGACCGGCCACCACGAAACTGCCTCCATCAACCAGTTCTCGTACGGTGTAGCGTCCCGTGCCTCTTCCATCCGAATTCCGCGCCAGACCGATGACGAGGGCAAGGGATACTTCGAGGATAGGCGCCCCTCGTCGAACTGTGATCCGTACAAGGTATCGAATTTCCTAGAGTACAAATATTCTGTTTTAGGTAACCGCCGCCCTGATTCGTACCTGCTGCCTTGAGGGTGCTGAGCGCAAATTGTCGATGATGTATGTGCCAAGTAATAACCCCGTCACTCATCCATATCTCTGTCATTTTCTCATGTTGCACCCCTCCCCTTTCTGTGCTTTACTCTTCCAATATGATTCCCATTAGCTAATCATAGACCAAATTGGATGCTGGATGTCCCCTTCCATTCTGTGAATAAAGATTGAAAAGTTCATGAAGATCGTACAATCATTCGGTAAAGCACTTTATTCGACCCGTTGCGCGAATTATGGCATAGATTAGCAGACGAATGATAACCGACTATCTAGTCTTGTACCAACTATTGACCAGGTCGCCCTTGCTCGTCGAACCAAGCCAGGTAGCCGCAGGTTGCTTTCCCAGTAGAGCCCAAATAAATCGGGCTTATCGCCTGGGTCCCCGTAGATTTCACGACGCGTTCTGTGCCTTGTAGTCGATATGGTTGATGGAACAATCAAGGGCTCCGCATCTTTCTACCGTGTGATCGTAGCTAGAATTCAGTTAGGTATGTTATTCGGAGCACCGTACCGGCAGTAGATGTTGTGCGCCGTGTTCGCGCCCATCCAGCGGCCGCTCCACGCGCATTCCCGCGGGTCTGATCTGGAAAATGGGGCGTAATGATTGAAATTAGGCGAGGTTTCAGGGTATGGTCAGTTCTTACTTGCAACAGAAGCGTTTCTTAAAATAATCGCCGAGTATCGTGGTACACGGCTTTCCAAAGCTATCATCAGGCACGCAGAAGCCGGCCATCCAGAAGTCTGAGCATCTAAGGATTCAGGGAGGATTTAGGGAAACGCTTCGGGTCGTCTACCTCCCAGTATGGCTGCGAATGTGGTCGTAATCCGACGGGCAGTGATGGTTGCAAAGTGGCGCCGTGCCGAACCAGCTGAAGCAGATCTTTCAGATATGGGAGGCAGATTCAAGAAAAAGTGGCTTGTGATAAATTAATAAAGGGAGGGGCGAAGGGGGATTCTAATCCAGCTAGGGAAATACTTGATTGTCTAGGTGAGTGCCTTTGTCGGAGTTGACGGCTTGTAATTAGGAGGCTGGGCAGGCTTGTGGTGTGCTTTAGTACTTTCTAACGGGTTCAAGCCGCTTTTAGGCTTTCTTCTTTGAGTTTTGTCGATGCTCAGTTTCCCCAAAATTTCGATTAGCAAAGGCTTCGATCATAGTTTCACTACCTCATTTCCTGGTTGCAATTTCCTTGGGGCAAGTCTATCATTTCCAGACCCCACGGTGTCTATTTCAGCGCCCATGTCCGGCTCGCTGTGCAAATTGGGATGTGCACTCTGGGTCTTCTTGTTTATCCACTAGGGCCTCCTTCTCCCATCCCATACCCCCCTACAGCCATTCTTTTGATGCCACCCCCTCTTACGTATTCGTGCCAACGTTGAAATATGATTCGGGCGAGGGTGAGGTTGGTTAGGTTGGGTTGTTTTGGGGTGCCGTTTCGCTGAGGCTTGTCAGTTTAGCATTGGGGCGGCAAAAACGGACACGCAAAAGCGGCCATGCGTCCGGGAATAACCCCGGGATTTTGGCCGAGTTTTTAGGGGCTACTTTTTTTGGATTCTTTAGACTTACACACAGCCACCCTCCGAAACACCGTACTGGTAGCTGGCCAGATCTTGCACAGTTTTTGCCGTCATACCTAAAGGGGTTCAGGTTGTTTTTTTAATAATTGATATTTTCTTTATAGATTGTAGGACTCACCAATCATACCAGTGACGACGGCTGTAGCTATTGGTATGCTCAGGCTGCCACCATCCCTTTTCGCTCGCCTATAAATTTTGGGGTAGAATCTTTCTCTCATTTATCTGGCCCACCCTAAAAGTTGTATTTTTGAGGGCAAAGCTTACTTTTAATATTATCCCAGTGGTGGTATTTCTTGGCAAATTTCTCTTTGGCGTATTCGGCCATTCGGTCTCGCATCTCCTGCTCATCTTCCCAGGCTGTTTCTCCTTCTGGTTGGGTCAGGACTAAATGGTTTAGTTTGGACAGATTTACGCTTTATTTTTAGATTAGATTCGCGTGATTAAAAGTTTAATTTAGAAGATTTATATAACGTATTAACAGTACTGACAGCCGGAAGTACCCCCTTCAGAAGCTTACATCTTTTTTGAGAGCTTATCGTACGAGCAGGTGCATTTTTAGGCTTTGTGGTGGGGTGGGAAGTGTACCTCTTTTTTCAGATTTCTCGTGCGCCCAAAAACCCAAGGTTATATATGGGTCGAAGCCCCGGGGGCGCCAGCGAAGCTTCCACTATTTCTTTTAGAAAACAAGTTCCTTAGAAAAAAGCTGGTCCCCCATAAACACCCCCTTCCTCTACAATGCGAAAGGATCGGGAAAAAATTATAGGCCAATCAACTAATACTTTTGCCTTCTTTGATATTAAGGATCCGCAGTCAAATCTGATTTCCATAATAACACCGCATCTTTGCTTTGCATCTCGGTTTTCCGGCGCCTTTTGGTCAGCCCCAGGCGCCGCCGCAGGCGCCACTCGGCACGCCCCCAGGGGGTGCCTCGGGGCGCCCTTGGCGGCGCCCCGGGCTTCGACCCATACAGGGTTGTTCACGGACGGGCTCGGACGGACGCGGGCCCGGACCCGTCCGCGTCGAATAATTTGCTCCGGCAGAGCGGACGGGCTGGGACGGGTCCGGACGGGCCGGACGGGCTCGGACGCAGGAAGTAGCCGAGCCCGCTATGCAAAGCGCGGGCAGCCAAAACTCGCATGATAATTGATGAAATGACGGTTTATCGCGTTCTTTCCCAAGTAAAGCACGTATGCAAATTAAGAAAGGGCAGCAATTGGTTCAATATCTTAATTTGCATCTAATAATTTGCATGTGCTTCCGGCCATTTGCATCGCGGACCCGCGGACGCCCCAGCCCGCACTGCGTCCGTCCGGCCCGTCCGGGACCCGTAGCGGCCCGTCCGCAATTTTTTATGCTAATTGCGCGGACGGGACGGGTCCGCGTCCGGCCGGACGGACGCGGACCGGACCCAAAATGAACAACCCTGGACCCATATATACCCAAGGTATAGACTAGTTTGACCACAATTCCAAGGTATAAAACCGGGTAATGGTAGTCACGCATTCCCCTCAAAAATCCTTGGTTTTGCTGGGCACAGGGTTAGGCCGATAATTGCCCCCATCACCCGGAGAACCACCAAGTTGCGCATCGGGTCACTTTTGCTCACAGCGCCTGCATTTCGAAATTCCGATTCCTTTAGCGATATACTTTTTTTTATAGCTATAAGCAGGGTTGGTCACGCTGGATCCTAATCGGATCCGGTCCGGTCCGGTCCGGTCCGGTCCGGTCCGGATGGAAATTTCGGACCGGACCTGTCCGGTCCGTGGCGGACCGAGAGGCTCTGATTTGCTAGGAGAAACGGAAATGCTTCGTGTTCAGACGGACCGGACCGGTCCGGTCCGGTCCGGTCCGAAATTCTCGGATCCACTCGGACCGATCCGGACCGGACCGGACCGCGGACCGTCCGCGGACCGGATCCTTTGTGACCAACCCTGGCTATAAGTATTTATTCGCGTTTTTCTTGCTTTTTTGCCGAATTTCCCAAGTGGTCTTTGCCCCGACCGGTGGACTTTATGTTTTCCCAAGAGTTTATACCCCCGCCAGCTTCTCAAATAAGCCAATTAGGCGCGCACTTTTAGTACAATGCAAATTTAGTGAAATTAATATAATTACAAGCATCCCATCCCAAGTCTACCACTTACCCGTGACATTTGGCTGGAGGACGGCTCGGTAGAACCCGGGCAGAAGCTGAAAATGGGCCGGGTCGGCTAGGATAATAGGTAGCAGAATGGCTGGGAGTAATAGTAGTTGGCGTCCTCTCGGAATCATCTGAAGCCGGCGTTATTTTTGACGGTAATCATCGAGCAAAGAATGAATTTTTGGGTAGAGCTGTAATTTTACTAAAAACAGCCTGGTGTGGTAAGTGGAAGAAAAAGAAGAAGCGTAGGTACTTTCGTAATATACGGCGTTTCATGCTTTTCGGAACAGCGTAAAGGACTTGTTTTATAGCGACTTGTTTTTGGGGGCGGCTTATGCTTATGAGTCAGCGGTGGGTCAGCTGCTAGGTGAACTTTTTTGGACTTGGGCTTAGCAACGCTAGAATCTAGTATCGAAGAAAGTAAGCTTTTTAAAGGGGCGTTTCCATGGTTCAGTATTTGCCCAGACGCGTAGCTGTGCGTTGCGTCAGCGTGAATTAGGCCTGAAGACGTGACGCGCCCGTTATATGGTCATCAGAATTTTGGAGGAGTCACTTTAACACCGTTGTTAGCGCCAGAAAATAAGCGGTTGTTTCGTTTTCTGCCCATTAAAAATGAAGCTGCCCATTTCGAAATTCAGTATGTCGAAATTCCAATACGTCGAATTTTTTATATAGATTTTGGTTTTCCGTCAAATTTGCTCATGTGAGTTTCGACATGATGGTCGACATTTTGCAAGTAATTCGAATTTTGGGATCAAGCCTTCTTTTTCAAATTTTTAGGTCATAGAGGGTGTGGTCAATCTTTTTTTCAGGATTTTGCAAATTAGTAAAACGTAACAAACGTTGTTTTAGCCCGTTCTCTAACCCTAGCGGATCGATAACGGGAGTCGACCCCGGTGATCCATCAACAAGAAAATAATGGGATCGGGGATCGGGAGAGGGAAAAGTGGGGGGCAGAACGAGGAATAGTTATCACCGATCAATGAATCAAATCGAATAAAGATAGATATTTAAAGCCAAAAAAGGAAATCCGGTAGCATATAGCGTTGTTTCCGTAACGGTATCGCTTTCCCCCGCGCGAATCGACCACCCGAACGTACACGCTGGGTTCCGGTCCCGAGGGCGGAATTTGCATTGTTGAATGGGTTGAGGGAATGAGGGAGATGGAGAAGTGGATCGCGTTGGGCTATGAGTCATAACCCTCAATTCGCTCTGGCTCTCCCTCTCTCGCTCTCTCTCTCTCTCTCTCTCTCTCTCTCTTCACCCGTCAACTTTCACCACCACCTCGGCTTTTCCGGTCAGAAAACCCGCGGCTGCTCCGGTGGCCCGGGCGGTGTCGGCAAGGCGTTTGATGGATTATCAGAGCTCCCCAGGAATCTCTGCTAGTTGCCCTCCAGATGTTGTCGAATCTGAAGAGTTAGGCAGAAAAAAACCAAAAATCCCTAAAAATCTTTGCTAGACTGCCTTGGGATTAACGGGACCAGGTATAAAAACAGTTTGTTTGTTCAATGGGCGTAACACTCGAGTTCTAACGGCCCGGGTTCGATCCCCGCACGCTGCAAGACTTTTTGCTTTTTACTTTTTGATAACTGCAGAGAATATAATGGTTTTTAAAGGACGAGTGAAGCCTTCCCGCTACCTCAAACCAGTTTTTCGCGTTTTCCGGCGGAAGCCCCGGAGCATCAGCTGTCCCAGGATGGGCGATTGATGATGGCTTTTGGCCCTAGCCGACTCGTCGCCGCTTACTCAGTGTGCATGGGGGCAAAAATAGGGCGGAAAAAGCGCTGGAAAAACACGATACTTTTGTAGCGACATTTTTTTTTTGACTAATTTCGTGGTGTAAAAAATTGATCCGTTTTTTGAAAAGTCAAACTTTAAAATTCTTTTAAAAATCGAAACCCTGTATAATGCGGTGTTTTCAGGAAATGTAATTCCAAAAGTTTGGCCTCAAATTTTAGCTTGAGTTTTAGTTTGATATAAATAGGCTTAAATCATGCTTTTTCTAGCGTTTCGAACCCATTGACCCGTCTATTTTCGGCTTCTCCACGTCGTGTCACTCCCAAACCGTGGCGGCGGTAGTGAATAGTGTGCGGTGGTCGGCTAATTGATCAGTGTGCCTTGGGGGCCATGTCGAATTACCCGTGTGCGGCGCTTGGTGCACGCCGGGAAATGCCCCTTTTGCGGTTGAGACCCAAAAAGGAGGGGAGATGATAATTTCGGCTTATTTGGGTTGTTTTCCGTGGTGCGCCTATGGGCCTCGTCGGGCTGCCCGGCCTTCCCATCAACACTCCCTTTTTAAAACGCTTCATTTTCAGCCCATTTCTGCCTTACTGGTCCCTTTTAAGCGAGGGTAAGGCACGGCTATGGATTTAGCTGGCTAAAAAGCTGCCGGTTAAAAATGCGGGCATGTTTTCTTTGCGTCGAGAGTAGAGAAAATCCATAGCATCGATAAGCAAACCTTGGCGATCTATTTAATGGACTAGGCTGCGGTTAGATCAACTTTAAATGCCAGCTTAGGTTTATTGTTTTGTGCATTTTATAGTGGATCCTCTTCGAGATAGACTGGTGAGAATTAGGTCCGTTTCTCTGTCGCTCTGGCTCTCTCTCTCTCATTCGCTCCCTTCTCTCTCACTCTCTCTCTCTCTCTCTCTCTCTCTCGCGCGCTCTCTCTATCTCTCTTGCCCCCTCTCTCATCTCGACAATTTCGAAGTGGTCAGCCGAATCAAAAGAAACCCTGAAAAAGTCCATTCACGTCCGATATAAGTTTTTGTCTGCCACTTAATTAATCCCCTAGTCTCGCGCCTAATCCTGCCTGGCCAAGTTGGAAGACCCGAGCGCTATTTCGTGACAATCCACGGCTTCCTCCCGTGAATTCAAGCTAGAGACCACAATTTCTCTCTCTCGCCCTCCCTCTCTCTCGCTCTCTCCCTCTCTCTCTCCCTCTCACTCTCTCGACTCTAGTTTCTACACTGCACCCCCTGGAATTTATATAATAGCAGGTTTCGTGGGCTGAATTACTGGCTGAAATTCTGCTTGGAATTATTTTCTCGAAATACACGCCGTAATTGGCACGACTGGATAATGGCCGGAAATCCAGCCTTGACAATCCCTTTAACACAATTGGATGGCTCGAAATGTTTTGGTTTTTCGGCCAAATAAATCCTCCACGAGCAATCCGGGTATTTGGCCCCGCGGAACGTCCGCGTGAATAACACATTTTACGAGCCATCCACCCAGCCACCACTGCCCGAGGAGGTTTCACCATTTCTCAAGGCCCCGAAAAGGGCATCGAAACCCTTCGTTCATTTCGCTAAAATAATCTAGTTCTCAAAAAGCCAATTTTTCCGATAGCTAGCTGAGTTTTTGCCCACTAAAGGCACGGGCAAGGCATAATTTTGAGCGCGCTCACTTGAAGCGCGCTGTCATTAACATTTAGGCCATTTTTTTCGGTTTTATCCCTTTACGAGATGTATTCATATACTTTTCTGCAAGTTTCCAAGCCTGAAAATTGCTCACAAAAGACCTATTTTAAGATATATGCTTTTTTACCATTGCGACGCATCATGACTTGTGTCCTGTGTTAAATTCAATTTATTTTTAATTCAACCTTTTGTAGAAATGGGAAATCTATGACGGCATCTCGCTAGCGGTGGCCCATATTCTACAGCTTCTGCTTCCTGGGTGGGGCTCGTCCTCAATTCGCTGCTCGCCAAGACGGCGTTCACGTCAAAGTATGCAAATAAAAAACCCACTTATAACGTTAATTTTATGTAAATTCGGAAGACATAGAATGCTTATTTTTAGAGACCTGCATGGCTTTTGTCATGTTTTGATCGGGATCAGGGCCGTCTGCGATATTATGCACCAGGTTTGGTCGAGCTTTCAAGAGTTCGTATTTCAAGGTTAGGCCGGTCATTTGCCGCTGCTGTACTCGCTGGTGTCGGACGAGGCGGTGACGCAACGGAATTGCTACTATTTACAGGTTACGGCCTTTTTGCTAGTTTTTGGATTCAATATGCTACCATACTCGCGAGAATCCATTTTCCACTTTTCACTCCTATTAAAGGGATATCGACGGCATAATTAATCAATTGACGCAAGGAAAGAAAAGGTCTCTGCGTCTCGCCCCTGGGCGCGTTCTCTGCCCTGTTGGTTACGTGACAAAAAGTCCGATCAGGAGCAGGCCCGTAGGAGGGGGGCCCAGGGAGCCCTGGGCCCCGAAATCGGTCGAGATCGAAAAATTCATAAGGGGGACCATATGATTTTTAGTTACAAAAATTTTCTGCCTGCGAGCGCTGTTTATTACTGTTTTTCAAACAGTTTTTACTTATATGAAACCTATTTTTTTCAAAATTTTTTTGCCTGCGGCGCTGGATTTTCATTGGTGAATCAAATTGTTCCTGCAAAAATTTTCGCCTGCAGCGCGTTTTCTACCGTGTTTTCACACGCATTTGAGTGTAGCGAACAGCACCCGCAATTTTTTGCCTGCGGCGCTATTACTGACAGGATTTTCGGATGTTTTAAAAGTGGCGACCGGGGAGGTCGCCAAAATTCTGGCCCCGAAATTTCGGTTCCGCTACG